ACAATTTTAAGGTTAATCAATCGAGAGGAGTGATTGAGAAACATCTGATGTTGAGAGTTTGGAGAAAACAAACAGTCTAATTGGCCATACCTCTTAGGGGGGCGTTTGGTTTGTCGGAATCTACTGGAATTGGAATGGTCAATTCCGTTAACCAAATTCCATTCCAACATTTGGTTACCCATGGGATGGAATTGAATTCCAAAGATTCCTTTATTTTGAGGATTTCACCGTTTCTTCTTAAAACTGATAGTTTATCCAAAAATTGTGTAAACGATAAAAATACCCTCATTTTCTTTCTCCTTTTTTGACTTCTCCAAATCAGCACGATTCCTTGATTGGAAACCTCCTTGTCGGCCATCATCATCCTCCCACGACCGATGATACCAGGGACGAAATCCTTGTTCTAAACCAGAAATCCAGAACAAAATCATGAATCCACCGGTAGCACCACCATCGATGACCCCCTCCCCTGTTTAAACCCACGTGAGATTTCGTCCCTGCAGTGTTTGAACAGATTCAACGACTACCGAAATCGTTTTTCCGGAGTTATCACGAGTTCCTCGACCTACAAGCCATGGGCGGACCTACCATGGTGGTTACGGTGGCATGTGCCACCATTTATTTCTCCGTCGAAGGGCAAAAATATTTAGGTTCGTGAAAGGTGCAACCGTATTAATCCGTTGTGTGCCACCGTATGTATTTTGAAACTACAATGACAACAAGTTTTATTAGGTAGAATTGGTTTGTAAGGCTTTTATTCCACTCTAGACCCAAATTCAAATCTTGTTAGTGTCATTTTCTTAGTCAAATAGTGTCACCGATTAAAAAAAAATTATGTATATTTGTTTCTTATAATCAACCGGTGCACTGTTTGAAATTTTTTCGCTATAGTTTTTTCTTATAGTCAAATGGTGCCACCGTTTGAAAAAAAATTCTAGGTCCATCCCGACCTACAGCAACCACTTTCTCGGAATTCAACTACAACACCAAACCACAAAATTAGCGAGTTGTGGAATGAAAACCGAACCCAACCGTAAATCAAACGGAAGAGAAGGTGAAAAATACCTTGGAAGATTTCTCAGGTAAATTCTCTAGAAAATGGGGATTTCAAGATTGCTGGCGGAAGGTTCTAGGCTTCTGCAAGAAAAAGCCGGTGAGGTGCAGAATGGAAGCATGCAGAAGCTGATGAAGCAGAAATACCAAGTAAGAAGAAAGAGAAGAAGACACAGTTATAGAAAAGAATGAAAAGATCAAAGAAATGGTATTTTTGTTCTTTTTCATCGTTCTATTCCAATTCTGTTGCAAAGCAAACAGACAGATTCCAATTCATTAGACATATTACATTTCATTCATATTAATCAATGATTTGGTCAAACCTGATAACATTTCATTCCAATTCCTTCCACTTTCAATTCATTTGACAAATTTCATTCATTTAGAAACCATTCTGCAAACCAAACGTCATTTAGTGATTCGGACATAAGAAGTTGATAAGCGGTTTTTTTTTTTTTTTTTAAAACAAGGCCTAAGTGTAAATACTTTAGATCACTAAGGTGGCGCTTTATTTTTAAGAGGTGCTGAAGTCTGAAGTCTGAATTCACTTCTGAATTTTAAGAGGTGGTTCTGAAGTCTGAAATCTGAATTAGTCAAACTGTTTGTTTTTACGTCTGAAGTCTGAAATCTGAATCAGTCAGACTATTTGTTTTTACGTCTGAAATTTGAATCAATATAAACACGAACAATCGTGAGCTGTTGACATCGAGAGCATTCGAGAGATCGAGAGTTTGGACGGAGAGGCAGACAAAAAATCGTGAGCTATTGACATCGAGAGCTAAGAGCGAGACCTTGAAATCGAGAGTTGAGAGCGAGATGGTGATGGAAGAGCGAGATGGAGATGGAGAAATCGAGAGTTGAGATCGAGATGGTGATGGAAGAGCGAGATGGAGATGGAGAAATCGAGAGTTGAGATCGAGATGGTGATGGAAGAGCGAGATGGAGATGGAGAAATCGAGAGTTGAGAGCGAGATGGAGATGGAGAAATCGAGAGTTGAGAGCGAGATGGAGATGGAGATGGAGAAATCGAGAGTTGAGAGCGAGATGGAGATGGAGATGGGATGCGGCTCTGAAATTGATTTCAGACATAGGATTCCCACTTAATTTTAAGAGGACGGTAAGAGGTAAAAAAGCTCTTAATTTAAAAAAAAAAAAACAAACAGTCTGAAATCACTTATGTCTGACCGATTAAGAGTTAAGAGGCAATTAAGTGAAAATTTTAAAAAACAAACAGGCATCTGAAATCATAAGTTTTTTGAGACAAAATTAAACCATAAGCATTAAATCGTTAAAGGGGTTTTTATAAAAAATTAAGAAATAAATTGGAAATAAGTTAGCTTTTGACCTTTCAAAAACTTTAATGTTTTTAATTTACTTCCATTTTTTTTTTTAATATCCTTATCATATTAAACTAATTAATTATTAGCTAAAAAATTAAAAAAAAAAACGTATTTTTTTAATTAATTATTAGCTAAAAAATAAAAAATACATGTATAATAAATACAATGCCATTAATATAAATTTGACTAGATATGTGTCATTAATCATTTTTTTTAATTTTTTTAATAAAATTTTGCACCAATAATAAGTTAGAACCTTTTTTTAACAAAATTTAATATGAATACTTTTTATTAGAGTTTGTTTGGTTAGAGTTAGGGGCTACTTACCTAAATATTTATCCGGTAAATGCTTAACGTTAGGAGTCAACCCTATAATTTATTATCTAGGTAAAATTGTAATATATCAAAATGGTATCGTGTGCAACAATATATATGGTAAGCGCTTACCCGGATAAGAGTCGTCACCTTCACTTATCAGGTAAGACACTCTATCCTTATCATCGCTCTTATCAGGTAAGATTCTTGGGTCTTGCCATGTTCGTCCAGTGAGCAAAATTGCCCGATAAACACCTACCGGATAAGCGTTTAGTAAATAGCCCCTTAATTAATTTACATTGATAGAATAATGTTAACATAATAACGTTAACCAACTATTTGATATATATTTGGCCCTAAAATTGTAAACTTTAGGATTATTTGAATACAGTTAATTCAGGATTATTTATAGACTTCAAAATTAACATTACAGGGCTAGCTTTATAGGTTAATTTGTTTATATTAACTCGGTAGGTTCTCATCCGTCGTCGCTCTCGACCCTTCTCCTTTCTCCTTGTCGCTCAAGTCGTTCCTCCCTTGGCTGCACGAAAAAGTACAAATTTTTTTCACTGATCGATTTATACATTTGTTGGGTTTTTTTGTTTTCTGGCTTTATATTATGTACGATGATGATGGATTACTTGAAAGAATCGGTTGATTTCATTACTTGATCCATTTTGATTTTGCTCTTTCGTTTTCCAATCGTGGGACTGGATAGTAGGTTGATTTCATTACCTACACGTCCCAGTTGGCATTGAATGGTAACAAACATTTCTGGTTGGTTCCTTAAATGGGTTCAAAGAAACCTGTTTCTGGGACCTTGACTGTAACGACTTGTGTTCCTACTTGTAACATTCACTTATCCAACCTGTTTCTATAGCCACTGCCATCTTGTTTGTAGCAGCTTCTATTCCTACTGAKCTTGATCGATTTCATTCATTTTTGTTCCACATGATTGCTTCCATTCATAGTGTCATGTTATTCTAGCTCAAATGCTATTGAAAATAGAACCCAATGCTCTTGGTGTTGTCATTGATATTCTAGCTGGAGGATTTTAAATGTTCTACTATGGACGAATATGAAACTTCGTCACTTTTTGATGTTCTGTATAGACGAGTATAGAACTTTATCACGTTTTGGTGTTTTGTGTGGACGAGTTTTGGAACTTTAATATCTTCAGTTTGATATTATGTCACTCTTTAGTGTTGATTGTTTAACTTGATGTTTTTATTGTTCTAATTGTATGTTAAAGATCTATATCATGTATCCAAGTTTTTGTTTGTGATTGGGCTTCTGTCTGGCTTGCAGCTTGCTTTAAAGCAGTCATGTTACCAGTTGGTTTTGATCAAGAGAAGTAGGGATGAGATAGAGTGAATGTCACTTGTTGAGAATGATGATACTGAATTTATTTTGGTAGGAAAGCAATGTACCAATTACTGTTGCTGATTGTTGTCATCATGTATAGCTAGCTGCGAAGATTTAAAGTTAAAAACACAATAAGGCCCAACGTTGGCTGAACGAGAGGTCGTAGGTTCCGTCTGTTGGGTGCTACGGGTCCATGCCTATTTTCATAAGATAGAGTTTTGTTAGTTTGAGTGCTTGTAATGGTCATGGTAGACTTGGATCCCATTGATTTAGTCGAATGCCAAATGCCAACTATCTTTTTAATCTTATTTGTTGAGAACGGCTTAATCCCAAGTTTAAGAACCTTAAGTATATTCTTTTTCTTGTCCAGCATCTTTCTCCCGACTTAGATGCTAATTTTGACTTAGATGCAACTTGTATTTGCAAAAACTCATAACATGAAAGTTGTAAGCCCGTCTGTTGGCTTTCCAAAACATCTTAAATTGCCTTAAACAAAGCTCGGATGACGGGATGAGTGAGATATGGTCGAAACATCACAGCCTCGTAAATCTGTCAAATATCTCTTTAATGTTCTCACTTATTGTGCACAACTTTGATAAAAAAAATAGTATTATTTTTATTGGTAAACATTTATTTAAAGTATGCATTTTTTTTTTCTTTCATTAAACTATTAATAACAAAAAATATAATTACAAATAGAGTTATAATGGTCATTTTGTTGTTAGTAAACACTTACCAAAAACATTTGATAAACATTTATCTGATAAGAGTTGGTAAACGACCCCTTAGTACAATCAAACAAGTTGAGTTTTATAAAAATATGTGTGTTATTATATGAATAAGGATATTGTACGTAATGTATGAGTACAAAGAACCAACGATATACAATGGAAAAATAAAGCCAAAACTTGGCAGAAAGAAGGATAAAAAAGGAGATACATATACATATATAGACAATAATGGAATTGCCATGAAAATTTACAAAAGAAATATAGTTACAAAAAATAAAATACAAAAAAAAAAAAAAAAAGTGATTTACAATTGCCGATAAGGACCTGGAGAAGTGGTTATTTTTACTCCAAACCCCGTTTGCCCCTGTTTTATTATATCGTCTTTCTAAGAATATATATACCTCATCATGGAATGGACTTCTTATGCATCACCAATGAGTTCATAAATTTCATCACCTGCGTGTATGTAAACCAAATTTATAAACACTTTTTTTATTTAGTTGATAAGTTTTCATATAAGGATATCACAAAAAATGGGAGGTTGGTGTCTGATTGGTTTGAGCTTGACTCCAAAGGTCAAAAGTGTCTGGAGGTCACAGATTCAAATCCAAGAATGAACAAAAATCCTTTGTGGCCACGGAGGTTCAACTAACCCCTAAGATTAGTCGGTTCGTATAGCGGGTTGGATATCCAAGTTAATAAAAAAAATGGGTACCCAAACTCGACCCTAGTTTGACCAGGGACCCAAGGGTGCCCCTTTTTCATTCCTCTGTCCTAGTGTAACAAATATATAGCGTCATGAAAAGTGTCATCATTGTGTGTCACCATATATATTTTGTAACAAATAAATAGGTTGATTATTTTATTTTTCTGGATTCATGAGGCAGCCTGTCTTGGCTCAGGATTGTTCTCTTATATTAGAAGTTGATTTAAGCAATGAATGCAACAAGATAGATTCGTACCTCTGATGGATCCCTGAGAGAATAATATGCACTGCTTTCTTTGGGTTCAGAAGACACCAAGATACCATAACCACGATCACCGTCTCTTAGAAACTGTATGCAAATTATGTATCTTGTTCATAATTGGGTTCCAGAAATACCATGTTTATCACTATTATGCCAATTAGGTTTACCTTAAAAGCATCTTCATCGGTTCTATCATCCCCTACATATATGGGAAGAACATCATCGCAATTATTCAAGCCTACAAAAACACCATCACCTTCAGATATTTCGTTATAAACAATTTTATTCACGAAAACACAACTGCGAACTGGAACTTTACTAACCAAGTGATTCAAGTAAGAACTCGACAGCCTTTCCCTTGTCCCACTTAAGCACAGGGCGAACCTCTAAAACCTAAGCATAATGAGGCAAATAAACACAAGAATTAAAGCAAACAGAACAGGTTCACATCTATCGCGGTTTATTTTTCTGGGAAATCAAGACTTCATACCATTCGCCCATGTGTCAATCGTAGACGTGGATACTGTTCCAAAGTGTCTTGGACATATTGTGCTACTGTTTGCCAACTCTGTAATATTAAAAACTGGAGATGTTGAAAAATTCTTCTTTAAGCAGTTAATAACTTAATATTACTATCGGTAAGGAAGTGTTGAAATGACTGCTACCTTCTCATCTACATTACGGTAGTGCACAGAGACACAGAACTTGTTGTCCTCGACTTTTACTCCTTTTATGTCTTTGGTTATATCAACAAGGGCCACAAAAACCTGTTTCAAACATACATATGCTGAGTATTTCCTAATATGGAAAGTCATGTACATATATGCTACAAAACTTGAAGCATGTTCAATATAATAACCTCGTTGATCATTGGTAGAAATTCACTAGCAGGCTGGAACAAGTTTCCATCTTTATCCTATGTTCAAAAAAATAATAAAAATTAGATGACCCAGAAATGGGGCATGTTAATTCACATAGTTATTTATGCAAAAAAAACAAAAGAGTTGCTACCTCCTCACTAGTGGACCTTACGGTAGCAGTAGTATGGTCAGTTGGAGGCCGAACAGGACCCATGATGTCCATCCCATGACTACCAGCATAGTAGAGTTCTTTCAGTCCTACAAACTTTCGTACCTAAAACAATAGCAACATGATACATATAACCAAGAAAACAAGAAAGATTCAACTGAAACCTTCCAAAAAGATATGGTAAAGAAAAATACTTTCAAATACCTTTTCACGGCTTCTTCCACTAATAATTGCGGTTGGGAAGTATTTTGCCACATTTCTCACAGCTGCACGCATCTGTTAACAACTGGATATTATAAAAAAATCCTTGGGGGGGAGGGTGGGGTTCTAAGTGCATATTTCCAAGATTGAAAATAAAAAAATAAGGTTGGATTCTCACAGGATGAGACATAAAGGCATGATCTGGATTGCTCACAATAGGGGATAGTGTTCCATCATAATCTAGAAACAATGCTATTATCTTCCCCTTTGCATTATTTGCAATCTGTTCAAAGGCTGCAAGTGCAGATGGATACTTGAGCTGCACAAGGAGGCAAGAAACAGTTAGTTTTTTTCCCTTTATGCTAGAAAGCTAAACAGAAGTACGATACGAGAAATACCATCCAATCACGGTAAGCAACATCGACATCATTTGATGAAAAATCAATGCCATTATTTTTGGCTCGATTCCTGGGAGAGGAGGACTTCATGGCATCCAACCAACCAGTAGATCGAACATCATCAAGTACTCCAGGCTTTTTCCATGGGAGTGTAAGAAAAAGGCCTTGAGAGAAGATTGTGCCAGGGGAGCATGGTAGCAACGAATCATGAATTCCTAATCTTTGTTTGTTAATGGGGGTAGGATCAGTGAGTATGGGGGCAGTGTGATTAGCCTTAAGATCCATCTAGTCCCGACCAGCTGTTTGATATATTTGAATTAGATGCTAACGAATAGTCGATTTCACTGCCAGTCAGCACAATCCTCTTTAGCCGACCCTCTTGTCAATGAAAAACCACCTCTTTAAAGATTTTTTATCGTTGCTGGTAGGAAAATGATCCATCAAGCATGGGATTGCTGGAAACTGCCAATCATAAGATGTTAATAAAAAGGGGAAAAATCAAGAGTAAACGAACAAAAAAAGAAAATCCAAATTTTAATCTTACTTATGCATCCTCACTTTCAGTAGGCAAAGGCTTTTCTGAATTAAGTGAGACAAATAACTGCAAAACAAAAGGTTCCAATAAATTTCCTGATACGGACTCTCAAACTGATATGAAAATACCAAGATTAAAGCAATGTTAGTCTAGAAGTAAGAGATTGTGGAACTCATACAACAAAGAGAAACAACTTGGAAATCCTGCCAGGAGAAAATAATTCAGTCAAGTATGAAGATGCCACAAAAGATGGAAATGAGTTGTTTTCTTAAAGTTGTGGGGATACGCAGCCGTCCCTACTTACAGCAGTCTTATTTTAGTAGGGCCAATCTTATTTGTTGATTCTCTCTCACTCACTGAAAATGTAGGCACATATTCATGGATTCCCTTATTCCTTCACAATAGTTTCCTTTTCATTACCATCTCCACTCTTCTAAATCAAACATATTCAAGGAAAATTTAGGAAGTGTCAATTGCAAAATGCTAATAAGTAAACTTGAAATTGTTTCCTCCCAGGATATAGGTTTACTCTGGTTTCAACTTTTCCATGAACCTAATAACCTCTACCTATAATTAGCATATGGAGAATTATTCGCCAAACGAACAAATTTTTTCATGGGACCACGAAAAGACGGCCATTCAAAGTCCAAATAACAGCAGTGTTTTCACTGTAGATGCATGTGACAAGGTCAAAGCATGATACTAAATCAATACACAGAATCAGAACTAATAGCAGCACAGGGACAAGCTATAACTGCAGAAAAGAAAAGAAATTGTTGTATATTGTGCATTAAACCAGACTTTTGCCCTTTCAGAAAAAAGGGAAAAACTAAACTTGTGTGTGATTTGTATGTCAATGTACTTGGTAAAATAGCACCCAAATAAAAAGCTGGCCGGGAACAAATACAAAGAAGATAAAGTAGGCACTTTGCTAGGTGCATACTAATAATCAAAAGCCACATGGTGGGGACTCGAGATGTAGAAAGAACAACAGCATATGGAACAAGACAATATGGTCCAACGTTGGGAAGCATTGAATTGGACAAGAACCCAACACAAAATACATGCCAACAAATAATATTATGCAAATAGATCAATGATAAATCATAGCTTGCCAACTCCAGACACCTATGTATCCATATGCGATACAACCAAACATGCATATACTAGCTGTCTGAGTATGACCACTCGAAGTTGTGATAACGTTGCACATCTATTTGCATCAAACTCTTAACAATATAAGAAAAACACAACAGGAGTGCCTTTTTTTATTCAAAATCATCTAAAACTCTCATCTTCTTTTGTCTCTTTTTCCTTCTCTCCTTTGTACACCACCTATTACTTTCTTTTTAAAAAAAAGAAATAAACCTCACTTATTGTGAATGAGTCGGTCTAGAAGGTGAACTGAACCTGGACAGTAGACATCATACTCTGATACTCATATTATAACATAAGTAAATAAGTCAGGATTAAACAAAAAGATCAGAGTGTTTCAGAGTGAGAAATGACAAAGAAGCATATGGAAATTAAAGCAAACAAGCCCATATTCCCTCTGGTCCAAAACAAAGAATCCCATTTGCAAGATACACGAAAAGCTTATCAAAAGAATTCAACAATACCATATAAGGATAATTTTGCGTTTGATGATGGAGATCACAATCACAGTTTTGCTAGCACACAAATAAATCTGTTTTGCAATACAATATAGAGGACTCTTGAAGTATATAAAGCTTTCAACTATATGCAAACAAGAACATGGCATCAATGACAAATAGTAATCGGTTGTTAGGCCAAAAACAAAACTCAACCATTACATTATGCAAGAGTACAAGACCCTTGGGGCCAGAAAATTTGGTGTGAGATATCATATGATGTTAACCTAAACATCCAGTTCCTACCACTAGAAATTCATGAGGAGCTTGACATAAATAAGGTCAAATACATACAAATTTCTCATACCAAAATCAGGAAAGAAAATAGTAAATATCTGATTTCATGACGCAATCAATTCCCAAGAAACCTACTCAACCATACATTATACAAGACCCGTAGATAAAAAAAAATTATTGCCAAATATCCACTGATGTTAACCTAAACACTCATCTCCTACCACTAGAAATTCATGAGGATCTCAACACAAGTGAATCAAATACATACAAATTTCCCATACCAAAAGCAGGAAAGAAGAAACCAACAATCTGTTTTCATGACACAATCAAATCTCAAAAGACCACAAATCATGTTGACTGAAACAGAGTAGTTTAATTTCAAACACCAAACGTAGAACTTAGGGTCATAACAAACATGATTAACACGCTTTGCCAAATTAAACAAAGCCAATAGAAATTTCTATCTTACAATAATAAACCAGATCATCATTGTTACGGCATATACCTTCTGTAAAGGAAACGAAATATCTACAACGCTACTGGAAGTAGAACCTTCAGAAATGCAAAAAAAATGATCGTCAACAAACAAATTAATAACCAAAACGGAAATGGCATAAAAGAAACCAACTAAATGAAAAGAAGCAGAGATTGAAACGGCATTACCTTGTGGTCAAGAACGCTTATAAGGACGAAGGAACTGAAAATTACAGAAGCGGTAGGAAGTGTCAGGGAGACGAAGGAGATATGGATGTAGATGCAAAACGCGTATACGTATAGGAGAGGATGAAGGAGGAAAGAGCAGAAGAGGGGTTAAGGAGGAGGTTTATATAGAATTTTGTCGACGACTCCATCCGTCGTATCTTGAAAGCGCGTGAGAGACGCATCTGGTGGGGCGTGGGAGAGATTATGAAATGACCGACGCGGTCAAGGAGTCATTTACACGTGGAATCGTATGAGGACACCTGTGACCCTGTCAGATCTGACGGGGCCATGTTGTGCGCCGAGTGGAGAAAGTGTCGTCGTTTTCAGTTACAGCTGGATCGGAGACAACGTCGGTGGCGGTTAGGAACCCTCCACCCGCCGTTTGACATTACCACCCTTTCTCCCACCTACTTTCCTCGTTTAAGCTTTTTTTTTTTATGATTTTTGTCACGTCTTTTGAAAATTAATAAGTTAGGATTCATAAATTAAAAAGGTAGGAGTATGATAAAAATTCATCATATTTAATTAGAATCCATCGATTATAATTGGATCAGATATCCGATCAATCTTGCAGACAACGATTTCAGGCTTCATGTACAAGTAAGTATGGATCTGCCGTGTGGGCTGTGGACGAGGATTTTTCCCTTTCAATCTCGGCTCTCACTCTCACTAGTCATTTCTGAGTTCTGACTTGTCCAATGTGTTTTCTTTCTTATTTTCCTTCAATCTTGATGTTTTCTTTTTAGTTTTTTATGCTTATATGTTTCTTAGTTTTTTAATTTGCTTATTAGGTTATTTGCTAATTTGTTGTTTGTCAAACAACCTGACACAGCCATGGAAAGAACCCTACTGTCTCCAAATAGCATGTGGCCACTATAAGTTAATGAAAATGGGCATGATTGGTCAGATAGTCTTGTGATATATTAAACCACTTGGTACAAAAGGGGATTAAAACAATAAACAAATACTCTTTAAACCCCCTATCGACCCCAAATGGTTCCCATCAAAGGGTTAGTTGGACAAAAATATCCATGTCAAATGGATTCTCATGAACAAATACAATCAGAAGGGATATGAGCGTCATTTGGGGTAATGATCTCAATCAGAGGGGTAAAGATGGAAGAATTCTCCAAGCACTTCCAACCATTGCGAGTATCTCAGTAGTTTTAGGACATTAACTGACATCATTTGATGGTAAAAAGACTTGATTAAAACAACAAGAAATTGTACAGGAATAAAGCATTTGGAGTTGTCTGACTGTAACCCCTTCATTGAAGGTAGTAAACTGGCACAAACAATTAAAAACAAAATGGAAATGATTTAGATCGTTGGAATGGCTTACAGAGGTTTATTTAAAGTTCACGGTCATAAAATTTGGAGTAGATGCCAGTTTTGTGTATCTTCCATACTCCACGGTTTCTAATGAGTCATTTACAGAATGCTTACTGGGTAAGCACTTACCGTCAAAAGAAATTACTCTCACTTACCTTATCATTTAACATTTTAGGCCATCAAAAATGATTGTTGGTAAGAGTCTTAAACCCAGTGAGCGCTTACCGGGTAAGAGTCTTTTTCTTCACTTACCAGGTAAGACTATCGATCATTGTTATACCTCTTATTAGGTAAGATTTTTGGTCCTGGTTGTGTCAGTAAGGTAACTGATATAGGTAAGTGCTTATGGTTGTAAAAAAAAACTCTACCTAAGTTTATAACATCATCATCGAGTCTAAATAGAACTACAAAAAATTATATGTTTTATTTGCCTTTTTATATATTATGGGCATCTTTTGGCCGTTCTGCACAAGACATGGAAAATCTCAAGACCGACTCTGGTGTTTTATAAGAATTACCATTAAAGAAAGTTCTTATATGAACACTAAGGGGCCGTTTACCAAACGCTTATCCATGTAAGCATTTACCATGTTACATTACCTTACCAGATAAATGTGATAAGAACCAAGAATCTTACTCGGTAAGAACGAGAGAAAGAACAAAAGTCTTACCCAATAAGTAAGTATTAGTGTTAAGTTTTACCGTAAGCATTTATTGAGTAAGTTTTTAGTAAACGGCCCCTAAGTCTTTTGAGTTCTTATACAAAAACTTTAGTTCTTACCTTGAATTGGACGTGTACGGAATTTTTTTTTTAGCTTTTAAATTAAATATTTGATATTTGTTATGAAGGTTCTTAGTTATCAAAGTGAAATAATATAAACACTTTTATCTGATAAACACTATTTTATAGTATTAATCTATAAAAATCTATAAAATAAGATTGTTTTATCAAACGATCGTAAGTATCCATTAATAGTTATTTATAATACTACCAAAAGGTTTTTGGCCTAACGATATCTTAGTCTTTGGTCTCCTAAAAGGTGAGTAGTTCAAACTTTACCAAAGATGAGTAAGGTGTGTGAATTTATTTGTTTCTATATAATATACTTAAAAACAATTATTTATAATACAATTTGTGATTTTATTGAATATTTTAATTTTGTTAAGCGAATATGGTGTTTTAATTAAAAATAAAAAGCAGCCATAGAAATGAGGAAGCGGTGAGGGTTTGTAGATTGACCTAGAAATATAATAAAATAATGGTTGTAATTAAGGGGATATTTAATATTTTAATGAAATAAAGGCTCACATGGTAAATTATCATGAATTTAATGGGGTGAGTGAGCATGACGCGCCATTGTGGTGGTGGTTGACTGTAACCCACGGGTAGCATTGACTAGTCAAAGATTGACAATACTTGAAGAAAGAATGGGTCCCAGTTTTTTTGACAGTAAGATTTTATTTTTCCTCTTCGAGGAAGTTGAGCCACCCTCCTCCCAATTCATGGCTCATCTTTGTTTTAAATTATCTATACTTACTATATTATAAAGTATTTAATAAAAAAAATTTAAAAATCATTTTTTATGTATAAAATATTTTTTATTAATGCATATTACTTAAAACTCAAAATTATAAGTAGATTGTGCATAAATACAACTTATTAAAACTTTATATATGAATTCGTGTAACTAATTACAGATAAACATAATCAAATACAAGATAAACATCTCATTTTAAATATAAAAAATTGAAAATATAATTAGGATAATTATTGAATTTAACAGAATAATTAATTATTATCTTTATAAAATTTATAATATTAAACTAAAAATAAATTATTTCATTATTAAACTTAAAT